CATCAAATGGAACGGATGGTAGGGCTGATTTCGAGGCACCAAAGCACACGGTTGTGGTCTTCCAGTCAGAAAATCCGTAATCTACAACAACAGCTTTCCTGTTATTCGAATTTCACACTGTTCGTAGACTGGGGATGCGAGTCGGGCACTGTGCAACACCTTCATGAAATCCATGTAGAGAACGTCGGCCCTACCATCATCGTACAGTGAGCGATTACACTGTTCGGTCGAGAACAATGAAGTAGAAAGGCATGAATAGCTCTATCTGAAGTCGAGCTGAAGCTCTGAGAGAAAATGTTCCTTCTCCAATAACCCACTGTTGCTTTCTTAACTATGACTTCAACCACTTTACAGCGAATGAAGGTGAGCCTGACGGGCCGATAGCTGCAAGCATTTATTCAAGCGCACCTTGTATTTGCTTACTAGCAGCAACTCACACTATCCGACGCGAGCATACATGCATATATATATATATATATATATATATGCACCACTTGCGTTTTTAAATTTTTTTATCATCTTCAAATGTCAAAAAACTGCATTTTCCTCCTTTTCTTCAAGTTTCTTCCAGCGAGGCTTTTTTCTCCAATTAGTCCTGATGGACATATTTTGTGAACTGCCCATGCACTTATCTATTTTTTGATGACGTTCAATTAATATAGAGTTTTTATGCACATTCGCGCTTTCGACTACTTTTTGTTAGGATTCTGGGCTGTGCTATACCATCTTCGGTACATTCGTCCCATTTGCGGGTGTGAAGTTTGTAGCCCATGGTAGCACTCGCTATTTAGCGTTTCTGTGTGATTCTGTGCAGAAGTTTTCCCTACAATTCCTGAGTTGTTGGATTTGAATCCAATCTCCCGGAGAACCGACACACGACTCAGGTGTGTATGTTGGCGGCAATATAAGACAGTTCGTCATTGAGGTTGCGAATCGCGCGGCGCGATTTTCAACCTGTTTTGTGTCATTAAGTAGCCGGTTGGCTTATCAGCCGGTTGCATTTGGGACTCGGCGTGAACCCCTTCCCTGTAAAGGTTAGCTTTAGAGATATTTTGATGAGACCTTTGCCGCGATGATTCAAGTTTCGTTAAACTAAGCCTGAAAACCAAATTGAGCGCCTCTAATTTCCTAAGCGGAGTTGTCCCTCTGGCTGGGAAATGTACGGGGCCGGCCACGTAGCCGAAAAAACGACGCAGTTGCCGAATACACACTGTTGTTGTAGATTCGCTCATCAGCAGGAAGTCGCCAGCCGGGATCGCGTCGAATTCCTACGCTTTCCGACCGGACAGCTGATACACCCCTAGTAGCAAATCCATAGCGAGGTGAGGGCGCCTCGCTGTGGAAAAGTCGCGATACAATGACCGATTTATAGCGGATTTTGTCCATATGGTCGCTATGGAAACAATGGCGAAAAGTCGCGATACGGCATTATGCAGCTGCGGGACGGCATTCCTTAGCGACCTTTCAGTTTTAGCACCCAAGAAAGCTTTTTTTCCCACCTACCATCCGATTTAGTACTAAACGAACTGCGGAACCCCCCTCCCCCCGATAGTTGAAGGAAGGCGTTGTGACATGATAGAAGTAATGATTTATTATAAAAATAAAAAATACAATTAATCTGGGAACTAATCCTCTCGCGGCCGGGACGACGTGGGTTCTGTTGAGGGTTCTAAACCAAGTATGTGTAATGATACTTCAGTTTCACTTACCGTCAGAGTCATCGATAAGGGAATCCGGCCGAGATCGCCTTTTCCGAAGGGCGTCCAGCGATCTCTTCAGCCGCCTTGTGAAGGCGGCCTCCAGTTCATATACATCCACTCTGCCTCCCTTGTTCCAGGCAGCATAAACGTCTGTTTTCCATGCAGAGTTACATTTAAGCAAGGGCCTACCCTTTATCACCTCGTAAACCTGTGACCCACACAGGCCCCATTTGTTTTTTTCCACGGAAATTGACGTGCATGCACGCCTCGTCATCAAAGAGGGCATAAAATACCCTCTTAACGAAGTCGTCGGTGTTGCGCCCACCGAGGCATACGAGGAAGTGCGTCTATGAATGTCATAAAATTCGCTTAGCCTTACCAGATGCGACTTAACCTGGGGGTCATGGAGTCTGCTTTTAACCTCCTGGAAGTCGGACTTTGTACTTATGGGCCGCCTTAGGGGATTGGTTGGAAAGGCGGCCTCCGAGCTTCCAGGGGCTTCAGAGCCGTACGGCTCTGATTGTTTCTGCGAAGGAAGGCAGGAAGTTCAGTTGATCGCTCGTTTCGGGTGCTGGCCTATGGCGATTTCGTGGATTGCGGATGAGCGTCAGAAGATCGTCTTGAAGTGCTCGACCTAGCTCTTCAGAATCTGTTGTCTCTTCCGAGCTGTGCGGAGGTGCAGTTGCTTTGATGCAAGGGCCGTAGGCTGCCCTGATAGAGGCAAAAAGAAGTCCTTTCTTTCGTTGCCGTCTGCGTACACTTGGATTTCCTCGGCCTTGTGACCCATTCGGGCGTCCTTCATCTGCCGCAGTCGTTGCTGCACTAAACAGCGGCATCTGAAGTAGGCGGTTTTGTTGCGTCGGCGCGGCATTTGGCTGTCGAACTCCACAATGAGTTACGGTTTCGGTTAGGGAAGATTGATCCGAGTTAACCTGGGCCGCTTACGGGATTGTATATCGTCCTCCGTATAATTTTCTGAAAATGGGAAGGGAGGTGGGAATAAAGGGGGAGCTGAATTCCCGGGTGTGGGTACAAAACACTGAATAGGGATTACAGGATACCATGCGGGCACCCTAGTAGCAAACTATATCGAGTAGATATCTATTTATCGATACTCATGTATCGACTGGATATCTGTTTAGATATCGATTAATCGCGATACCACACCGACGACGAAAATGGGGCTTAATACCGTGCGCTTGAAATCGTTTGCTTAAACCAATACCCTTTCCTACCCCCATTCATTCCTCTTCGTGTGTTTAATCCCCCCCCTCCCCCCAAATACCCAGAGGTACTTTGGAGACGGTTATTGTGGAATAATCATATTTAAAATTAAAATTGATGGATATGTGCAGTACTTTGCTGAATCACTTCCGTGATCACTGACGGAGGCCGGCAATCGGCAGAAGCTCCTGGAATGTTGTCTACAACTCAGAATTCGTTCTTGATAAACAGCAATCAATTTGCCACTCTGTTCTCTGTTGACTTGCGTCTTTTGTTTCCTTTGGACGTAGCTGTCCAACTACCTTTTCAGGCGCTTGGTAGAAGCACACTCAAGGTCTGATAACCTTTCGCTGCCGCCTGTGTTCCATGCGGTGAAGACCTTTGAATATCATAGAGTTGTGCAAGTGACGACAGACATACCAACTATAGCCTCATATATTTTGGATCCGCTGAGGCTTTCTCTCATTTTTATTCCCTTGAAATTGGCGTGCATATTTATTTCATCCTGTGCTGCAGCACAGGCATTCTAACCGCAGTATATACGACTAACTTTGATTATGACCATGGTAGGCAGGAGTTGACTGCGCATCACAACCGGCCTGAGCATGTAGTTTAAGAGGAGGGGGTGCAGGCGCATGCCTATCAATTCGCTCAAGCTGCTTCTGTTCATGTGTCAGCCAAGGCGCTGTCTTAATGGCTGACAGGGGCGTCATATCAGAGGAGGAACGACTTTTAGAGCGTTAAAAATGTTCTGTAGATTTCTGTTTATGGATCGCATGTCTCCGGTCTTCTTGACTCTGTCTTGACACGGGGTCCAGGTGGGAGTGGGGAAGACAAAGTGTGGTAGATGCTGCCCGAGTCTACTATCACTATAAACTAGCTCACGCGCAAGTCACCGTGTCTACTTCATCTTGCCCTGTAGCACACAGTGGACATCGTCGGAATCGACGGTTGAACTGTGATATTGCCGTTAATAACCGAACTCGGTAATTGAATTGTAGAGAATGCGTTCGAAGAAAAGGTTTTTTTTCAACTTCTTAGTCTTCTATTAGCTAGGACTGAAATCTACACTCTCCTCGTTATCACTTGATGTGCTTCCGCGAAATACCCAATGCCGCCTGTTACGTCTTCTCCTAAGACGGGCCGCGCGATAGGTACGCTGAACCAACACGGAGGCCACATCGGATTCTGGCGGGCATTATCGGGAATGCGCATCCGTAGCAAAGGCCAACATTCGGGGTGTGACGGCGGACCTAGTTGCCGACTCACCTCGTGCCAACTGGGATCCTTGCCGCCTCTGTTGTTGTTGTTAGTTAAAATCCTGGTCAAATGTTTATTATGGACCAGGCAGTCTGGTGGTAAGCCCAGATGCGGTCCCGGCCGTTCCATTCACTTGCGCTCTCCCCCACCTCCGGTCTTCTTTACTCTGTCTCGATACCGGATCCAGGTGGTGGAGGAAAAGAGAGTGTGGTAGTCACTGCGCAAGTCTGCATTCACCATGAACCTGTGCGTGTCAAAGAGTGTTCTGTGCTGCCTACATTGTCCCCCCCCCCAACCCCTTGGGACTTAGGCCTCACGGATGATTGCATGAATGTAGCCTGCCTCCGGGTCTGCCAGATGATAAAATACTTACCATATTTCGGCAACGGTAGGATGTAGGACCCCAGCTAACTTGAGGTAGACTGTGGACTGTGTCACACGTGAATGGGGGTAGTGGGAGTTTTACGGGTGCGACAACACCTAGGATGCCAAGGGACTCTCGAACAAGGAGAACGGTAAATAATAAGTGGTGCTGCTGAATTCTAGTGTGCATATTGAAGTTGCCATCTACGTGGGGTCCTACACCCTACCCACGTACACCTACACCTTACCCATATTTCTTTTGCCACCGTTCACAGAGCCATGTTTTCCGGAACGGATGTTGTCCTGACCCTGTCCTACGCCCTGTTTGCATTTGGTCTCTTTGTTCCTCCGGATGTTCTCCTCGCCTCCGGACTGACTCTAGAAAATTTATTTCACCGGTGGTTGGGCAGCGAAGAAATCTCCTTTGTCAACTATCACCTGAGAAGGACAATCATGGTGCGCCTCGTAGCTGGATGTCTCCCCTTGGGTAAGTAGCCAAGCCTTTCTCCTTTGTTGGCACTGGGTGTCCTTCGTGTTGACACATTTATCAGCCTGGTGTTTCGGATTCTCTCTCGAGTTCATCATCAGAGACATAATCGGATAGGGGTAGTGGATCGCACAGGTGTTGCAGCATTTGTGGGATGTAGTTGCTGGGTGAACGGTTACCCGCGCAAATTCGTCAACCACTGCCTGCGCAAAGGAGATGAGGGATGAAATCCATACGACCCCGGATTTTAGCGACGTCTCCCGTTCGCGAGAATCGTCTCGGAAGCCGTCAGCCACCTTCTGACGCCCCTTAGAATTGGAGTTGCACGCGGACCGGAGGCAACCATAAAGCGCCAGATCACGAGACGAGAGACTCACTGCCACGTCAAGGGACATCTGGAGTCGTTCACCGGCTCTGGTGCACTTATGGGCAAAACACCTATGTCGGAGGAACCAGAACACTACCCGGACTCGGATGGCTGAGCACGCAGCAGCAGTGAGGGTGGACACAATCGGCTCTCATGTCGCGCCTCATTCGACGGGACGCCTCTTCGCTTCCATTGACACACTTGCCTTAGTGATTCGTTTGCCATGACGCAATGCTGTGGCATCACAAGCAGAAACACCACTTCGGCCTACCGCTTCGACGATTTTTAACTCGTAACCCCTCACAAAGCGTGCAGACTCAAGGTTACAGTGTGTCCAGCAGCAGCCATGGTTGCACACGGAATTTGAGTTTAACCAGGGAAAGGCTCAATGTCTATCGGGAGGATTGCGAAAACCAGCGGTCGGCTTGAAGCGTGACCTGCGGAGCTCAGATTCCATATTTAGCGACATTTGTGGTGAACGTGTGTTCCGGTGTCTCTGCCAGCTCGTGAAATTACTTTACTGGGCCGTACTCATCTGCTGGGGTACATTTTTGCGAGTTAAAACCACAGCACTCTGCACCTTATGTGGTTGCGTTTCTCCACGATATGACTGTTTTGGAGGACGTCCTTCACAATGCCCCTACACCCTTGGCGACCCCTGCAGTGAAGTCGAGCCACTTTCCTACCCAACAGCGGGGACCGAGAACTGAGGACCTGAGAACCACCTTGACGATCTGTGTCGAGCAGACCCCACAACATCAGCTTAGTCGGCGACTTTATCTTCGTACTCTGGGAAATGAACTCATAAGGTTCAGAACTGCTCACGAGCGATACCTCGCGGGTTTGGCTGATAAGCTAAACCGACTCGTGCCGGCCACTGGTGTTTCAGAGCCGTAAGTCAGGTGCTGGTCTGGGGTTAAGAGCTCTTTCTGTGATTTGATAGAGCCCTACATCCAACTGGAGTAGGTTATTCAAACCTGACCCTGCATAACACTCGACGACGGGCTTTCCTGGTACCCGCTTTGCAGTATAAGCTTTATTTTGTATTATTTGTCGACACTGACTTTAATACTGACAGTTTCGGTAAGCTTAACTCGGTGCGAAATTCACAGCGCTTGCTCTGGTTGTGGGGGGGGGGTTAAGTTGAAAAATCACAGGGCCATTTGCGATGTAGTGGGGAGTCTGCTAGATCTGTAATAGCCCCTGTCTACTTTGTTTCACCTCCCGCATGATTGAGGAGTTTCTGTTCTACCTAAGTCATGTGGTCGCCCGACTGTAGGCGTTAGATCCTCACCTGGAAGGTGCGGTGATTTGGATCCGACTCTCGTGCGTAGCCCGTGAAACATCCTGCCAACTCATGAAAGGTCAGCCAAAATTCCGAAATGAGTTTCCGTTTGGAACGATTAACTAAATAACGTTGTAAAACTAATCATTGGGCAGCATATTCCAGTTACGTAAGGGTGCCGGCTTTCCGAAGGATTTTCTTTCGGCTGCATATAAAAACTATACTCTGTGAAAATGACTACATTATTATTATTATACATTTTTCTCATGCCATTAAACACTAAATTATATTTCATAGAAAACACGCATACAACTATTCATCAATTTGCTCATTCGGTAGAAAATGACGTCTTCTTTCAATTTTATACCTAAGGAAATTTATTATTCTGCGTCAAATAGTATCTAATTGTGAGATTTTCTAATGCCGTAAAATAGCCGTACATAAAACGTCATGTCTCTGCATCTACCAACGTGACTTTTAAAGTTAACAATGTGGCTCAAAGCCCCTGCTAAATTTTATGAATCCCTTTTGGTCTCCTCCTAATCCCATGAAGAAATGTATGTTTTCCATACTCGGAAAATATACTGCTTGTTGTTCGAAAACCCTGGTTGCAGTTGTAACATCACATCGGGCTCAAAATTATTCAGTAATGGAAAAAAAGTTATTCAAAATCAAATTACACACTCTTTTTGAGTGTGAGCCTGGAAGAAGACGTAATCCTTCACCGAATGAACAAAGGACTGCATATTTTATGCGTGTTTTCGCTGAAACATGATTGAATTTTCAAGGGCAATTGAAATGCATACTAATTGCGTACTCACGTTCTACAGAGAGTAGTTTTTTGCACGTGGCCAGAAAGGAGTTCTTTCGAAAGCCGGCATCCTGAGGTATTATAGAATTACGCTGCATGAGAGTAAGGTTTACAATCCTACCTTATTAATATTTTCGGAAGACATTTTGGAATTTTGGTCGACATTCCATGAGTTAGGCCATCTACTGTGTAGTACTGACAGTTTTCATTGTGAACTTCCCAGCGCTTGCCCTGGTCGGTAGCAACCTAAGTTGAAAAATTACACGGCCGTCTGCGATTTGGACGTTGAGTGGGAAGTCTGCTAGATCCATGATAGCTCCTGCTGGCTTCATTTCACCTTCCGCCTGATTGGGGAGCTTTCGTTGTCCCAAAATCGTGTGGTTTTCCTAGTGTAGGTGCGGTGATCTGCATCCCACTCTGTGAAACATCCTGGTCAACCTCCTTTTCGTTGCCTACTGGCGGTCATAGACTTTGTATCACAGTCGAGTCCTACCGTATCTCTCGGTTTTCCCTCTATTTTCCGCAGGATATTTCCTCTTCATGATGCTTTTCGCGTCCTCGTCTCTGGTACCTTACCTCCTTGCCGGTATCGGATTATCGGTTTCCCTCATGCTTGTCGTCTTGGCACACGTCTGCATCGTTTGGTACGCCGGTGGGACCTGGGAAGGTCATCCCACCGTGAGGAGGTTGTGTGAAATCTCAAAGCGTGTTAAGGAGACCCCACCGGAGGAGGGTGACCCCCCGGAGCTAGCGGCCATTCGTTCTCTCTCGAGGTGCGTCATAAATTCCCTCGTCTTCGTACTATTATTATTATCATTATTATCGACTTTTTCCATCACCTATACGACTCCTACTTTGGTATTGCTATGGTGCAAGTACAGTAGGTGGGCTAACTCATGAAATGTCAACAGAAATTCCGAAATGCATTTCCGTTTCGAAAATATTAATTAAGTAGGGTTGTAAAACTAGTCAGCCTGCAACATAATTCTATCATAATTCAGCTACCCCAGGACGCCGGCTTTCGAACAAGCTTTTTTGGCTGCATCCAAAAACCATACTCCGTGAAAAATGTCTACTTAAGTAGAATGCATTTTTTCCTTGATTTTTCGATGCCCTTAAAGATTCAACTATATTTCATGGAAAACATGCATAAACATACACCTTATTTTACTCATTCGATAAAAATGACGTCTTTTTCCAATTTTTTACTCGAAGGAAGGGAATAATTCGGTCTTAAAAAGGTTTCTTATTGTTGGATTTTTTAATACCGTGAAATGGCCCTTCATAAAGCGTCATGCCTCTGCATTTACCAATGTGCCTCAAATTCATTGCTTAATTTTATGAACCCTATATGGCCCTCCTTTATTACCGTAGAGAAATGTATGGTCTTCCGTACGCGGAAATTATACGGCTTGTAGTTTGGGAACCCTGAATGCAATTGTAACGGCATGTTGGGTTCAAGATTATTCGGGAATTGGAAAAGTTTTATAAAACCGAATTATACCCTTCCTTCGAGTGTAAAATTAAAAGAAGACGTAATTGTCTACTGGATGAGCAAAAGAATGAATACTTTTATGCATGTTTTCCATGGAATATAATTGCATCTTTAAGAGCATCGAAAAATCAATGAAAAATATGCATGCTACTTAAGTAGTCATTTTTCACGGAGTATGATTTTGGATGCAGCCGAAAAGAAATTTGTTCGAAAGCCGGTGTCCTGTGACAACTGAATTATTATACAATTATGCTGCACGATGATTGGTTTTACAACCCTACTTAATTAGTCTTTTCGAAACGGAAACGCATTTCCGAATTTCTGTTGAGATTTCATGAGTTAGCCCGCCTACTGTATAAAAGAACTGTCCGATCAGTCACCGTACTGCAAAAGACAGAGCTTTCCTGAAATCACACCATGTCATTGGATAACTCCCTTTAGAGGCGTGACTAGCTAGGGCAGCATGTTTTCTTGACCGAACTCACCGTAGAGGCAGGCGCATCCTAGACCCCCTTTTAGTTATGACCGTAGTCCTGGCTGCGAGAACGGCTGCCATTTTACAATACCCTCTGGAATTGGTCACTTTAATAAAGTCTCAAAAGACTTAGTTGCCCCGGCTGTCTGGCACGTCCACAGGTGACGGATAGTGGAGCGGCCTTCGGCGAAGACTAGTTGCGAAACAAGCAGTCGCGGACCAGCAGCGACAATGCCACCAGGGCGCGGGGAGCCTACCGTATTATAAATGTCGCAAAGTCCGATGTCGACCGTGAACTTCCAGTAAATAAGTCTGCCTACCATTACTGCCTCGCGCTTAGGTTCTCTGTCGAAAGTGCTAGAAGAAACAACCTCAAACAATTAGAGCGGCTGTCGGGATCCTGCCTGTACCCAAAATCCCCCCGGAAACCTCACGAATTTGTCTGGCTACAGCATTTTGGCGCATGCCACGGCGTCAGCGGGGACCGATGCTTCGCAGTGATGCGGGTGAATAGTATGCGAGCTGGACTACTCAACCAGAAACGAGCTCTGGGTGTTGGATGCTGGAATATACGAGCTTTTCTGGACCCTGGTACCCAAAGTCTGACGGCGTGTAGTCTTCATCAGTACAGCGGGGATCTCCGCTGTCTGTCTGAAGTCCGGATCTCCGGAGACAAGAATCCCAGGAGTCAAATCCCGCCTCCCTCTGTGGCACAGTGACTCACGCGACTCTTTTGGTAGACACGCTGTGGCTATCGCCCTCGTAATAAGCAAACCGCGTGCTAGCGTGAGAACCAGTCAATGACCGGATGGTTTATGTGAGACAGAAATACGGTTCCGTCTAACGATCTGAGTCAATGAAGAAGGCAGTGGCTGGATCAGCGTAAGAACCCTACAACTGTTTCCCCAGACGATTCTAGCCAGTTCCCGCAATGATGCCTCCTTCAACAAACTCCGGAAAATGACGGCAAAGTCGGCTAAAAATGACCGGCAGAAATATTTCCGTGGACCAGGCCTTCGACGCTGGCGGCATTCGAGTTAGCGGTAGGCCGCGATGTGAGTGGCGGCTTAATTGCCGACATCTTGGCCAAGGTCGGTCTCTGACGTGAGCACTTCGAGAGCCTTCTCAACCTTCATGAGCAATCCTCACTCTCCTCTACAGGGAATTTTATCTCTCGGCAGCCTATGCAGTGTCCTGTGACTACTTCTAAGCGAGGAGTTGACGATGCAATACAGACCCTACACAACAAAAAGGCACCCGGAGAGGACTGTATTCCTGCGGCCCAATCGATGGCTGTTCGATTATTCGAGACTTCACGCAATAGCCAATCCGCAACCGTCACGCCGTAGGCAGGACTGTTCTAGAACGCTCTCAACGGCTGGCACGCCATTGGCTGGAATGTTTCAGAACGCACAGGGGCCAACATAAATAGGGCGTCTTTCTGACGAGGAGAAACCCCTCGTGTTCGCGGTCTCTCAGTAAAGTGCCCCTTTTCCCACCCCGCTCTCTTTCTATTCCACCTAATTCTCGGGTCATTGCACTTTGAGTAGAAGACTTACTCTGCGCTTCTAATCCGCCTAAGCTGCCCTCTCTACCTGGGTACTACCAACCCTAGACGCCATGATTTTGACCAGCCAGCCTACATTGAAATACTTTATATAGTAAAATTACTCACCGCTTCTAATCCGCCCATGGTGCCCTCTGCACCAACAACAGCTGGCAGTCAGTGGCCGCACACATTGACGCCGAATGCAGACGGCTGGAGAAGTTCACTGCGTACAGTGGCCGCGGTCTCATCTCCTCTTGGCCTGGTCGACGTTTCATAGTGACCAATTCGTGGATACTATTCTCCCACGCTGGCACCTTCCGACCCATCCTGCAATTCCTGGGTAGTCTGTGCGCCATGGTGGTCGACACGCAAACCCTCCTGGACACCCACACAACCACGGTGAGCGGCCATCCGGCCGGAGAGAACCTGGGAACTCAGACAATGGCAACTGTGCGGATCGTGGATTCAGGCAGTGGGATCTGCCGGCTCTCCGTCGTGTGAGTCTTGCTCATTATTTCAGATTTGTTTACTGTGCCATCTGGATCCTTTCTGAATGTCAACTGTGCCCCCTTTTGAGTCCTCGTCGCTGCGGTATTCTCTCAAGGTAGGTAGAGGTGTTCTTCATGGCTCCTCCTTCTCCTTCCCCGCGCTTTGAGATTGTTTCCAACACTGGGCATCCTTCCTGATGAGTTCTTCATAGGCTTCTGTCGTGCTAGGAAATTCAAACGATGGACTGCGTTTTTGTGCGTAATCCTTGGATCGAGTTGGCCCATGCCTCAACCGCAGACTGGACCGCATCACATATATCCTCATCAACGGATGCACTGTGGCGGTTAAGGGTGTGAGGTCAACTTAAACCACACACAATAAGTTCGTTTCGCCTACTGTCAGAAGCCAGGGAGCTGGGAGGACTAGTTTATTCTGTACACAGGTCAGGTTGCCGTAAGTTAGCTGTTTGCTTGCAACAGAGATAAGCGTCCGTTCACGGAGAGCGTCAGTTGCAGTGTACAGTTTACGCGGGGGGCGGGGAGTCTGCGTCAGTAGGTGGGGCTGACTGACTGAGTGCTGGTCATGAGATTGGACGGATTAGGGGGAGGCATAATTACAGGGGCTCACGGGTATCAGTCCAGGTCGTCCGAGGCGTGTGAGGAGAGCCATACATTCCTTTATGCCAATAAAAAGTGCCATATGGTGCTCATAACGGTTTTCAACGAACGTGGACTATGTCGCATAATTAATTAGGAGCGCTATCAAATAGACAATTACGATGCTATTTGAGTAAATGTTGTACTCCCTTGGAAAATCTCATAATTAAACGTTTTTTTTAAGTCGAAGGGTATCCTTTCTGCGAGTTTAAAGGTTGAACAAAAACGTTATTTGATACCAAATGATTAGAAAAGAGAGAATGGTTGCGCATGTTTTGTGAAAAATATTTTAGAATTTATTTGGTTACGGAGGTTCAACAGAGGAAATGCAGGTTAATTTGATAATCATTTTTGCAAAATGGGTTTATCTTCAGGTGGTTAAAAGTAATCACATTTAGAATCAAACATTCTAATATGTCTGAAATAATACAATGTGTGGCGGTCAAGGATGTGTGATCATCTTAAACCACGCACAATAAGTTCGTTTCGTCTAATGTCAACAGTCAGGGAGCTGTGAGTAATAGTTTATTCTGTACACAGGGCAGGTTACCGTAAGTTGGCTGTTTGCTTGTAACAGACATAAGAGTCCGCTCACGGAGAGCGTCAGTCGCGGTGTGTTGTTTACGCGGGAGTGAGTGTCTGGGTCAGCAGGAGGGGGTGACCGTCTGAGTGTTGGTCGTGTGACTGAACAAATTAGGGGAGGAATGGAGGGCGCATACTCACGAGGCCTCAAGGGTAGCAAGTCAGAGCGTTCGACGCGCGTGAGGTGATACTAATTTGTGAGGGCAGCCGGGAGTCACTGCAGCTGGGCCGGAGGCGCCCCAGGTCGTGTGTCAGAGGCCTGGCAACGATTATCGCGGCTATCGACCGACAAAACGAAGCCGGAGAAAAGGGGGACTGGAGCGGCTGCCACAGAATCACACATGAGCACAACGCATGTACCTCCACATGCCTCCTCCGCCACATGTTAGATCTGAGCAGGCTACCCCCGTGTGGAACTCCGGGGTGCGTGCTGGGGCCAGGTCGCGTGCGTGGCAAGCGTAGACGGACCGGCTACCAGGAAAGGGTAGCGCGATTTATGCCGACTTTCAGCACATACTTCCTCACTAGAAACAACCTGACGCGCTTGAGACTACTTTGGTGCTCTAGAAGTCGTGACTCGGAAGGTTGTCAACTGACGATTCAACTCGGCCAATGCGGTCAGCCAGTGTCTCTTTGTGCGTTGAGGGCCGACTGTTGGACTGAGAGGCAGACCTGTAGGGGCACTTTCTCACACATGTGTGATCTGAGCCGCCTACCTCCTTTTTATGTATAATTTTAGTGCGTGCATTTGGGGGACCAGGTCGTGTACATGGCGTGCGCAGAGGGGCTCTCTAGCTTTTTCGGTTGCTGCGTTCAAACGCCGCATCAGACAGCTGACCTTTCTCTTTCTTACTGTGTAGAATTTTGGTCACTTGCACGCCGGAGGGGGGAGTGTGGTAGATGCAGCCTAAGCCGTCTCCCAGCTCCCCCCACCCTGATTTGGAGCACACGATGATCATCGTTGGAAATGAAGGCCAAACTATCGCAACCCTTGAGTCGGCGAACTATGTCCCAGAGTGTCGACAGAGTGGTTATTTATATTTTTAGTTGACATCACACCAGCCGAGGCTTGGGTTGCCTCGAAGAGAGAAAAAACTTGACCGCCTTAGTTTTCCGAATTAAAATATCCAAGTTATGGCATGTCAGTTGGATATGCATCGCGTGCGCCACGGGGTGGACGCGACAGAGATGACTTGCGTAGCATCTATCACACTCTCTCCCTCACCCACTCTCTAATAGTAAGACAGTGTTGAGACGTCGGAAGTGGTGGGCTCGGACAGATGGTTAAGGAAGCTGCACAGCATATGATGGACGTTCACGGGGACGTCCGGCAATTTCGCATTCGTGAGAGTGCCCTAACGGCCGCATTAGGAAAGAGCCGTTTAGCCTCACCTCAGTCTCCCAGTTAGTCACTCCACACAAACACGTAGTGATTGCCACAAAGGCCGAGTTATCCCCTCAGTTGTGCGTTTTGAAGGACAGGAATAGGCAAACCGTGTCCAGATCGCGGGTGCCCGGGGTCCTCTGGTTAGCCTGGTTGCGGACAATTCAGCACGTCAACCGCTTCAGCGACTGCCGGTCACGAACCATACAGAATTAGTACGTCCAAATATGGCTGCGTAATGCTGTTGGTAAGGTCACAATCTAGGGAGGTGTTATGATGTGGCGAACTTCTAGTCCTCAAATAGAACTTCACTAGCCATCGTTCGGTACGATCTGGCCCTCCGGAGGACTGGATGGAGGTGTTTGCCTCTGAATCCAGAAGCTTTCCCACACATCCGCCGACGGTTGGGGCCTTATTTAACAGCGTTCTCATGTGGTCCGAGGAGCTATGGCCAGCGCGCTCCTGTTTGACTTGTTGGTGACCAATAACCCGGAGGGAGACACTTTCATGTGCCCAAAGAAGAATCATACACCTCTTAGTGATCCTGCTTCCCGCATTCCCTTTTTAGCGTCCCCGTTGGTGACCTGGAGGAACTTCGAACCTACCTCCAGTTTCCCCTGATTGTCGCTCAGGGCGTGGTTCTTGAGCCCACGATTGTTCAACAGTTCCTCACCGCATTTCTACGACTCGTCGCAGAGAACCCGACCGTCCGTCCCCCGGCTGATGTGGTACGTCTTTTTTGTGCCTTCACTTGCTTCGGCCAAGTCGAGGGGCATTTTAAAAATCCTAAGGCGACACCCCAGTCTCCAAAAACCAAAGTCAGAAATTGGCCAGAGCCGTCAACCATGTCCTCAAAAATTGCTCTAGTGCTACTTCAATACTCTTGAGTACGTGACTGTTAGTAGGGACCGTTGCTATAGCCTCGCGTCTTGGACCTCTCTTAGCCGACGTCTTCATGGGCAAGCTTGAGAGATTTAAACTAAGCCATCAGATCGAAAAGCTTAAACAATACGGTCGTTACTTTGAAGACATCTTTGTGATTGCAACCACGGAAACCGATGTTGCTGCCCTCCTAAATGCTGTAAACCGAGCATATCCGCGTTTAAATTCTCATTAGAGATGGACCGGCCGGTTCGCTTCCTTTCTTAGATGTCCTTCTAAACAGGAGGTCTGACAATAGCATCCAAAGGAGCGTCTTTCGGAAGAAAACCTGGTCTGGAGAATACACGAACTTCGCTCGCTTCGTACCTCGCCAACAAAACCGAAATCTAGTCAGGTGTTTGTCTCAAAGAGCTGGAAAGAAATGTTCGACAGATAGTATCGAGGAGGAACTCAGAAAAATCCAGGACTTGCTTCGCGAAATCGGGTATCCTGACAGGTTCACTGCAAAGAACCCACCACTCTGACCGCCGAAAAGAAAGCGTTCCTCAAAGTTCCTTTCCAAGGAGACGCTGCAAGTGAACTCCTAAGAAGACGCCTTGACCAAGCTGTCTCGGGAACCTCCCCAACAGCAAGGGTTCGCATATCATTCTCTACTAACCCTATTTTACGCGAAGGCAAGGATAGGCTGCCACCTCAGACCGCCTCAATGTGCATCTACTCATTAACTTTCTCCTGTGGAACAGATTATATTGGTCGTACGAGTCGGCACCTTCTCAAAGGAATACGAGAGCACCTTCCCGCATGGCTGGCACAAGGTGAAACTAGAAGGATAGACAGCGCCATCCTTGCGCATGCAGTGGATTCAGTGCATCGTGTGGACCCCGCTGAAGCATTTATAAGGTTCCCTCGAGCAACCCTAAGCTACTGGGCCAGCGCCTGTTAGAAACAGCAGAAACGACTGCCACCAGGTTACGAAAACCGACCCTATGCACCCAGAAGAACCTCGTTAAGGCTCAGAGAACGCTCTGCGCCCTTCTGCTTCTCACTGACTGATGAGAAGTTATCGAAAGTAGCGTTCGCTCGCCAGTTTGTCTTCTGAATATAGCTATGGGGATTCCCACAACTCTAAAATGTCATTCCCTCTAGAAAAATTATGCCGTTCGCAGGAAGGTGTGTGTGCAGGCGTTCTATCATTTGAAACAGACGATTATGCTACCGGTCCATTCATAGATATTTTGGCAGATTTTGCATAATTCATATTGACCCAACTGTGAAAAACTCGGCGCCCCGGTGGGGTTCGAACCCACGCAGTAAGGGAAAGGCCTTAGTACAGCCAATGCTCTAACCACTTGGGGTACGAGGCCCCGCCGGACGACGCGAGTCTAATCAAATGTTGGTCAAGTTACCCGCCCAACCTACTGCAACGTCTGGAATCCACCAAATCTGATACAGTAAGTTGACTGCCCAGGCAGAATTTCCTAAACAATTCACCTAGAATCCACCAGATGACAGCCAGACTTACGTACTGCGTGGGTTTGAATCCCACCGAGGCGCCGTTTTTCATGGCTGACTCAATATGAATTACTAACATTACTTAAGTAGCACATATTTATGTCACGCATTGCGTGTGTGGTTCCTGCAGTGCTCTTTCTTCGTTCTAGGAACTGGAGGCCTGCATCGGCTGCATGAGCCAGACAGCAAACGCCTGCTTGCGCAGAAACTGCCTCAATGCACCCGGGGCTAACTGCGGAGTGTGCCACTGTCGCCCAATGTGGTGTGCCTCCTGCCTGGGTCGTTGGTTCGCCTCTCGAGTCACAGAGGCGCACAAACCCACCTCCGAGTGGCTGTCCTGCAGGGTGCCCTGTCCGACATGTCGCGCCGTCTTCTGCATCCGCGACGTGGCCTTTCTGGAGACCTAGACGTCTGCCGCGCCGTCCCCCTCCCACTCCACCGTCTTTCAGAGTCCCCTCCCTCCACCCCCTCACTTTGGATTGGAGCTTTACTTGGCTGAATACAATGCTGCCAACCCATTTTATTGACTTGTTTTGTGTGTGTGTGTGTGTGTGTGTGTGTGTGTGTGTGTGCGCGCCCACTAAGTGGGGCTGCGTTGCTGTTGTATGAGGTTGCGTGTGGCGCGCGTAGACGGACCTGTTGACTTGCTCACACCCGTATCTGGTTTCCCCGGCGGACGACGGTGGGCGTAGGAGAAGGGGGTGAGGCTGACGCAGTGCAAGTCGTCTTCACCACAAGTAGTCTCATGCGTAAGTCATCACCGCGCCAACCTCACAAGACAGTTGTATCTTGCTTCGTCCGTATTCTCCTGTCTCGTCGTATTAAGTATCCTGTCCAATCATTCCACCCTTTTGCCTTGCCTAATTGGCACGTTTCAATACTTAATGAGGTAGATTTGGCATTCTGAAGTGATGTGGAAAGGCCTTTTACACGCCATAAACTCTAACGGGATTAGAACGGATATCGTTTTTTTATCGTTGACTCCACATGGTGCCGAGTGGCTAGGTAAAGTGAACTACGGCCAGGTCTTCCGTCTATTTTTTTATGTTTAATGTTGTCTGGTGTGTCAGAAACCCAACTAGGTACACCGCTGTAAGTTGGTCGAATTCTGAGCTCCATATTCCTCCAAACTTCTTGCCGCCGGCATAACGGGGCTTTGCGTCGTAGTATTTGGTACTGGGGGATTTATGTTCTGCAGATTGAAGAAGAAGGAGAAGAATCGAGCACCGGAACAATTCGTTTATTATCCTGAGCTTTCAGACTCGTACAGGAGTCCATCGTCAGAGGTAGTGGCAGAAACAGGACAAGCGGCAGTTATAAGGCACGTAGACCCAATCATCGACCGACGTCGCACGACTGGAGGTGACTACGAAGGGCTCTGTACGCCGGCGCCAGATCGATAAATCGATTGACCGAGTTCTCATCCGAGGCCCAGGCTTCAATCAATTCTCGGCCTGTTTTGTTTCCGGCGTGGGCGACTATTTTGGTGGCTGCGAAGTCAAACTCGTGACCCATTTCGTAGGTGTGGGCAGCCACTTGTGACAATGCGTCGCCTCGCCGCACAGCCAGCTTATGTTCATGTATGCGCGATCCGAGCATGCGTCCAGTCTGTCCTGTGTAATTACAAGGACAATTTTGACACGGAATGCGATACACTACTCCAGATTGCTCTTCAGGTTTTAACCGGTCTTTGATCTTCATGACCCTGTTGCGCATGGTGGCTTTGGGGCGGTGTGCGATTCCAACCCCTAGCTCCGCAGCAATGCGCTCGGTCGCTTCTGAAACACCCTTGATGTATGGCAGAGCATGCCATATCGTCGGTGGCGTTGATGTTTGAGTTCTCTGGTGGCGACCGCGTAGGCAGCGACTTATGAATGCCCTCGGATAGCCATTTTGCACAAACTGGTCGCGGAGATAACGGGCCTCACGCGCTCTGTCTTCCAGTTTGCTGCAATGAGTTTGGATCCGTTTGAAGAGCGTCTTCACACAGCTTCGTTTGTGAGCCACCGGATGGTTGCTGTGAAAACTCAGAAGCTGTGTGGTGTTCGTTGCCTTCCTATAAACCGTCGTTTCAAGTTCACCGTTAAGGTTTCGTCTGACGAGCACATCCAGGAAGGGCAACTGCTGCTCCTGTTCTTCTTCTCTCGTGAATTTTATATCCGGGAAGACTGCGTTTCTGCCACTACCTCTGACGATGGACTCCTGTACGAGTCTGAAAGCTCAGGATAATAAACGAATTGTTCCGGTGCTCGATTCTTCTCCTTCTTCTTCAAATATGTATACACCTGGAACTCGAAATTTCGCCTTTATTCGTTCTGCAGATTGTCCTGTCGAATTGGTACTTTCTACTACCCAATGTTACAGCCTGCGGAGAGAAGGGATTCAATTACCCCGCCGTATCTCTGTTACACATCCTATTTTTCGGGGAACTGAGAGCAGTTTGAGGGGCGTCACCTTAGGTTGTTTTGTAGTGCGACGCCGACAGTGCAACTAACCCTACCCGGAAGGGCATCGATGTCGTGAAGACTGACTGACGGCTTAGCTATGAGATTGCGTGTTCGTCTCCACTTCCGAAAGTCTTAGAGCTGACTCGGTGTCGTCCCACTCGTTGTCTTCCTTGTTAGATCTAGCGTACTCTAAAAGGTTCGCGGATGTCTGTCCGTCCCATTTCTTTTAATGACGTACATGGGCGTTTTTCAACCTACTGTTAATTGGTCCCGAATGCCGTCGTTTCGATATATTTAACAGACGTCAAGTCACCAGGGGGCGTAGGTGATTTGTAAGCCGGTAGTTGCTCCGCATTCAGCGGCTGTACGTGTCCCGCTATGACGTCGCATCGGCACCGGTAAAATGACAACAAAGGTGTTACTAACTACAATTAAGTACGATTTAATGTTTGCATAGTGTACCAGCGTCTTTTTCATTCTCGCTGACATGGCCCACTCTCTGTCTCACTACAGACTCTACTGGACTCCGGCTCTACCCGTCGTCTTCTTCTTTTCCAAGGCGTAACGGTCTCTGAAAACCGGATCCTCTTGGATGGGACTTAATTTGCTCTCTTCTCTGGTTACTGCCCCGCGTAATGGGTGGCCATCAGAGCTCCCTGGAAGGCACACCCGCGCCTGATGTTCTTCCCGAAATTGACGTCGGTGAGTCTGCCTTTCTGCATCCTAAATTCTACAGTCGGGACCTACAAAAGCGCAAGAGGTATTATTTGCCACAATTCAGTGCGGTTTAATGTTCGCACAGTGTATACGACTGCTTCGAATTTGTTTGGAGTCCCGTGTCTGGCAGGTACCTACGGTGCTTGAATGTGTCAGTCAAGGATACACATCATTTCGTTTTCGCCTTCTGTTGGTAGCTAGCTGGGCCGAGTGACGCCCACTCAGTGTATCTCCTTCGAAGTGCCTGTGTTCTCAGACTCGCAGACTTTCTCACGCATGTGAGAGATTCGCCGTTCGACCCCCGTTGTGTGAAATCCTGGTGTATGTGTGTCTGGGGGGCCAGGTCGTGCACATGGTGCACGCAGACATGGTCACTCGACCATGTCAGCCACCGCGCTCATTCCCCGCTCCAGTACGCTGACCGACTCGGACAGTGACGAGCCTGGTAATGGGAAGGGAGAGTAAAGTCCACGGCGCACTTTTCTCACTATAAGTAATTTGACGCGCTTGAAGCTATCACGGTGCGCTAAAAGCCATGGCTTGGAAGGTTGCTAACTTACGGGATAAATTTGGCCTTGCAGTCGGTCCAGTATTGTTATTGTTGCGTCTAAGAGTCAGACAGCGATGGCTCCATCTGAATGTGGCCTTTATGGCACTCCTACCGCGTGGGGTTCGAGCCAGGCGTGGCGACACGCCTAGGTGCGGCTCCGGTCGTGCCAGCCACCCTTTTGTTGTTGGTTATGATTTGTGATTTGTGCAGCTGTGTGGACTAGGGGGTGTGAGGCGGAGCGTCAAAGTGCGGGCCCGACCGTGCCATCCACCTGCGCCCTCATCCGCTCCTGATCTTCTTGGCTCTGTCTTCACGCCGGGTCCAGGTAGGGGAGGATAGGAGGGTGCGATAGATGCTGTACAAGTCTGCATTCACAATAAACAAAATTACGCAGAAGTCATTGTTCCTGCTCCCACCCTGCTGTGTGGAGCACACGGTGGACATCGTGGACAACGACGACCGAGCTGTCATTCTTAGACTGGTAAAAGGTAATTCTGGAACAGCGTGGGGAATGAAGAAGAAGATAGGCTCTCCGGAACAGGTTTATTTAAATGCTGACCTTTCAAAGAGCTTGGTCGGCTCTCCATTGTCAACGCGTAAAATGTTCCTACCGTTGTGTGGCTTTGGTTTCTGGTTCCGCTCCTGTTAGTAACTCTGTGGGGAGTTGCTTCCCCGGAAAGTTTGGCCATTTCATCAGTCGGGTTGAGAGCGAATTTATCTGCCAAATCGCTTTCCCTCCATTCCCCTCCAAGTTGACTCCGCCGCTGTGATAACCGACGCCAAATTTGGCGTAATGCCTTATGAGCGGCAATCACCAGTGGTCCATCATGCGCGACACCGTGGTTACCAAAGCCGACTGAACCACATTTGCCGACAGAATTTGTAGCCACGGGTAAACTCAACTGTTCCGGCCGGTTGTCGATCCCTCTCGGTTTTGGCGGGGATAATATCTTCTGGGTCTGCGGTTTCCGCGGGGACTGAATTTACTGAAGAGTGATCAGTGTCACGTCAGCCTCAATTCGACCGGGGGACGAGATTTGTCGTAGTGACTAATTTCATCTCTGACACTGTCTACGCGTATCTCAAAATGTGGTCGCTCTTCCTCTCAAACACCATATGCATCAAACATTGGAAACCACCCATCATGATTATTAGTCTAGAGGCCAAATCTAAGGGCAGTAACTCTCGCCTGGCCACTGACTTCAAGAGCCTTCTCAATCCCCACATGACAGCCTTTAATTCATGTCTACATAGGCACCTCAGTTCAGTTGCTCTGGGAGATGATAGCAGAGGCTTCGGTCGACCGTGAATATATCACGACCTCCGCACAGCACGGAAACAAACCACAATATGATGAGGAGTAGGCTGTGGCCACCGAATCTCATCGACTCTGACGGTCAATGGTACTTCTGCGGTCTAGTGGAGGGGAAGTGCGCCATCGCCTGTTTTCCGACGATCACGTAGGCGCTCAACAGACACAAGGACCGGTATCTGCCCACAGAATGTTCATCTCATCTGAGCCTTCGTTCATGCAATCGGGGAGCGCCAGGATATCCTCGTTTGTATAGCAGGCTTCGTGTGAGTTGATCAACCAGCAGGTGTGTGTTGTTCGAGAGATCTCGTTGGTGAGGGATGGGGTGGGGTTAGAGGAAATTGAGCTGACCCAACTATAATGGATTCAACACGCAGTTCGGCTGCCACGATGTGCTAAAAGTCATTGGCTTCAAGGGTTGCCAACTGAAGGAACGTGCTAGCCCTTTTTCGGACAGGGTCGGACCGCAATGACCTCTTGCGATCTTGCCCTCGAATTCTCGTACATCGGGCGTGTGGCACGCGTAGATAGGGCCCCACGTCAGATCAATCATTTCACCGAGCGTCTTTCGTTGCTCCGCGTTACGCGCAGTTTGCCGTTGCATGGCTTCTCATCCATTGAGCGCAACCCTGTCGATAGTTGCGTCATTTATCGGTTCGTCTATTTGATTATTCTGCACTGTCCTTGCGTTATATATGGCTATTTCCAGCGCATACCTTCTACTTTCTTAACATCTCTGGCAGCTCAGTTCAGTCTGTGCCATCTTCACGCTCCGTTTTCGATTCTGACTGCCCATTGCGCTCAGGTAGCGATTTCCAACGAACTGCTGCCGCGTCTTCTCATGCATCCCTGCCAGTCACTCCTCCTGCCCCTGCATTTGCCGGATCGACGGTGGATACTTTTCCGTCAGGTAGCGGCCAACGACGAAGAGAGCTGCGGAATTCCACCACCAGTCTACCCGGCTCCACCGCACCCTCCGCGGACGCCGCCAAACGTTTCTCTCACTTCTTCCCTCTTCCCTCCACCTCCAAATCGCGTTTTCGACTGCCCCACCTAGGCGGCAGCAGCAGCAGCAACAAGCTAGGCGTCTCACCATCGACGCAGCAGGCTACACCGCCCCGCGGCATTGTCGTAGTGAATCCCGGTCCGAGGACGGTTGCGGCCTCATCACTGCCCCGTCTGGACGCCATCACTGCGGCGGCAGCGGCGGCTGGTTTGACGGAGACCCCAGAGGGCCGAATCTTCTCGGCCTTCTCCTGCGGCGCTCTGGACGGTGGTGTTAATTGGGAGGCCAGGGAGCTGACTCGAATACCGCGCTTTACACCCATTCTACCGATCAAGTCGACAAATTGGATGATGGGCGGTGGAAAGACCACGGTTCGGTCGCCCTCTCCGTCCCAGAGTCTCACAGACCCCGCTGATTTTCAGCCAGTAAGTAGTATGAGTCGTTGCTGCAGTACTGGTTCGCTTTTCATCGAACTTCACGCATTATCGTGTAGCATGCTTTTGCTGAATGCCGCTGTTGTATTTGCCATCCCCCTCCCGGGGGGAAGAGGTCGTTGACTACACAAAAGCAGGACAGGCACCCATAACTAGTGCGACACAAGTGGTGACGTGGTGGTACGCCTACACACCTGCATTGGGTGGTTGACTGCCTCGCCGTTATGACCTCGAGGACACCGGTAATTGTATCTCACCATGTGTGACTATCTGCACCGGCAGATCTCGACCAACCCTCCCCCAGCGGCGAAGATCGAAAGTCCAATGACGACCTCAGTGTCTTAGCGAACCGTGTGGAGCCAGGTTTTAGGTTGATCTCTTCGACGCCTCCTATTGGATGACGCCGAATCGAGGGCTGTGACATTAAGCTAATGCGACGGACGACAAAAAGTGGTGGTGTGTCCTGGTCATTTCAAGCCGCTTGCTCCCACCGGCTCCAAGTCATTGATAGTTCTGTTTGCCTGATCAATGAAACAATTCATTCTAAAATATTCTGCGTTATAACTTGCGCTTTTTTCCAACTGCAGCTGGCCGAGATGGTAAATCGGTACGAGGAGTACTTTCAAAATTCGGCTGCACCAATCCTCCAAAAACAGGAAGAGTTAACGTGCCTGCAGCGGAAGGTACGCGCTCTTGTACACCTGCTAGCCGTATTAAAGGAGCTACTGATTATCTATTAGTAACACATTTGTTTCACATTTCGCAGGTAGAGTATGAATCACGGAAGGTGTTACAGCTGATGTACGACCGCCAAAATGGCAAGGCCTTCATGTCTCCTACAAAGGCGTCCGCGGATTTGCCGCATTGTAAATCAACCTCCAGTGAGCGACCGCGGGCTGCTGGTAGCCGTCAGCTTGATTCCATTTCTGCTGACCTCGCCGACCTGCATCACCTAGTCACTGCCAGCACCGAACTCCTCCGCAGGCTAACCCTAGATGTGAGGGCACTTCAGCAGCGCGTTTCCACGCTTTCAGACGCACCCTATGCTGAAGAAAACACTTCCGTTGTAAACTCCGCTAACAGTCCCGAGTAGCTCCGTTGTGCTGTTCCTCTGTTCTCATGCATAATTTATTATTCCTAACCCTCCTAACGGCGACAGCCACGACCCCGCCGCAATCAATTCTCATTCCCCGTGACCCCCACACAGGCGTGATATCTTGCCTTATTTTTTATCTTTACGTATTGTTTGGTATGCAAATGTTGATGTCATTAAGGGAAACACTGGTTTTAAAACCGTCCTTAGCAATTCGCTCATCTGCTAAGATGTTAGACTGCGTATTTGCCTGATAGTCGAGATCCTCTGTCGAGTTTAAGTACCACAATATCCGCACATAGGAGCGAAAAGGCGAGTCCCAGAAAGCAGCCGTGAAGAAAGATATATGATCGTTGTAACAAGAGCCGCGTTTGCCCGATGTTTCAAATTCCTGCTCGAACGCATCACCAGAGACAACAGATACGAGTAGTTTACGCACAAGGGGCTGTCGTATTTATAGGATGCAGGTGCCACGCTACTGCTGACTTATGAAAATTCACGGCTCCCCCCTCCACTAGCGATTATTGCACTTGGTGTGACGAGAGTTTGATAGCCGACATTCAAGCCGGTTAATGGGTGTTCGCATGATCATTGCTCGACCGTCTAACCCACCGACTCCAGTGTTGAAAATAATGTTCGCCTGTGCTCTCCCCTCGTGGCTAGTAACTCCACCTAGACTAAGTGTCAGCACCGAATACGGAAGGGGTAGGTCGCTGTACTTGTTAGTCGACTAGGGGCATTGAACCATGACTCAAACAGCCCGCAGCTGACGCCGCCGTCACCTCTAGCGAGAAGTTCAGCCTCATTGAATTCGAGTGTGCCGAGTCCCGTCGAATAAGCCGTGACTTAAGGTTTGGGGGCCATTTCTCCGCACTTCCGCCGCGTGTTCGGGCGTCCCCGTCAGAAGCCATTCTCCGGTATCCTCCGACGTGCTTGTTTTCTCCGCACCTGAATCAGATCCGATAAGCGACCCCAGGCATCTGACGCACTCTCACACAAACTGCTTTGAGGACAGAGCCTGGTCAGATAACGCTACCTTTTGACGCAGCATATATCACGTCGTGCTGAGCAACGACCGTAAACGCGCTGAAAATGCGAATGTGCTTGAAGCGGCCTAAATGGCGGTGTAGAGCATGTCATGAACCCTTTACGCAAACGTGGGTTCCGGTCAAATTGATGACCTGCTGCTTTTTGGCTTCCACGACACCATTTAGTGCATGGGAACCGCACAATCAGACGCCGGTCAGGCCTTTCCGTCGGAATCGGGCAGCTGTTTAGAGGTAGTTCGGCGGCATGATGATTTCGCGTAGTAGCCTGATTTGGACGTAGTCATCTCCATTTACCCTATCCATGACGACACAGGATACCTCAGGACCGCGATGGCTAGAGCCTTATGTCACGCACTGCCTTGTGGCCTCTACACATGTAGTAGATTTGTCACATAGATCTCCGGCCGCGTCTGGGGGTGTTACCGACGTAAGTTGCTTGTCCGCTTATCTGCCAGCTACTGTCATAGCGCAGTAGAACGAGTATTTGTGACTATATTTATGCCACTTCAAAAAGAGAGTTGAAATTCGTGTTTAGAGCAATGATTGCCCGCGAGTTCTTTGAGCAATGTCAACAGTGGTGCTTAAGAAACTGGCACTTTCTGCTTTTTATGCCTACCAGAGGGTATGCGCGGGGCGTTTAAGGCTCACTGATGAGCCACGTAAACGCGAAAATGTGTCGAAACACTGTCCAGGCCCTTTTCACTCAAGTGGTTCTCAGCGTACATCTTCGAAATTGCTGATACAGGCGACAGTCTGAACTCGAAGGACCGAACGTGAAGATTTTGGATCAATGTGGGTCTTGTCAAAATTCTCTTGTTTATTCATTAGCAGAGGAAACCACGTACGCACACGCCGATGCGCGACATCGCGTCTATGCCAAGGATACCCTCGCTGTCAATACTGAGCCGATAAGTGACTGGTCGTGCTTCAGCTGCTTATGCTTTCATCCCATGATCCAACGGTAACTTCTCGTTGAGTCTCCAACGGAAGGCCCCTCTGCACCCTACCCTTCTCCACGGGATGCCATCCCAGTGTAACCAACCATCCCGTCGCAGCAGTTTAGGCTATAGGCAGACCCTAGTCACTACAACATTCAGTCCCGGTTCCGGATTTCAAACAGACAGATTTGGACGCCGGTAGATAGACCATTCCGGGAATCGAAAATCTTGCCACGGCAGTCTAAGCTACAGGCAGACTCTAGTCACTACAACCCTCAGGTCCGTTTCTGGAGTGTAAACAGGCGAACTTGGATGCCGGTAGGGAGAGCACTGTATTCTATGCAGAATGATCGGAGAACAGCCTGGTAGCCAGATGAGAACGCATTTCAGGCGGCGCCGCAAGGGTGGGCGTCCAGAGTGACGGTGGGGCAGGCGTCAAAGCGCCCTGCAAAACGGCATGACCGCGTCGGACTTGAAGATTGTCGGCTGATTATGATTCCCGTGATCAACGGGGAACCAGACCTTTTACTGGTATGCGCTTACAAGGCGTAGCGGGCACCCAGGGCATAGTAACTGCCCACTGAGATAGCAACCCGGGGTCTCTGTTCACAATAAAACCCCCGACAGTTTTTGTTCACTGAGGCTGGACCTGACGATCATGACGCTTGAAATACTAACACAACATTTGCCGCCACAAGGTCAGGTCTGAGAGATTACCACTCTATGCTGCAGTAACAACCCCCCCCCCCTCCAGATACTTAACCGCTCCTTCTGTGGAGTCTGGTCCGGAAGGTGTGACTGCGTACACGCGCCAGTAAGCTTCCTTGGCCATTATACTTACAACCATTGTGTGTGTGGAAGCAGCGAAATAGATGGCACCCAATTTTGCGGTTAGAAAGCGGATATGTTTATCCCTTCCTGAACTTTCTTCCGATTGGCAGAGTTGATATCTGCGTCAGTGATTTGAGAAATGTGAGGGACTCACTTGAACAGCTTTATTGGAATGTTGACGTTGCGGACAGCTTGGCCGGCTCGCCGTTGTCAAAAAACGATCCATTCTAAGCCGACTAGCGCGGCGCCGTCTCTATCTCAGGTCAATTAAGTGCACTTTACGACCAACCTCTCCCAAACGTCGACATCCCATTAAACCTCATCCAGTGAACCCATCTTTTTTTTCAAATCAGCTATATCCCAACAAAGTACTTACTTATTTGGCCCTTTTTGCTTTTTCTACATTTTAGAGACTAACGTTTCCCCTCCTAAAGGGTCCCGGCAGTGAAGTCTCCCTATCACCATCACTGCCGTATGACAGGTAGCCCTGCGCCATTATTTCATTGGCTGCGGGAGGTCGATAGTGGTTTCAGACAGCTTCCCCTCACTGAGCAAAATGCCTCCACCATTATCAGCGGTACTGTTGACCTGCTGGCCTGAAGACGACATTAAGTTTAAAACAGCCACTGCCACAGTATCCACAGCCTTCAGGTCCCTTCGAATGAAGGCTGTCGCCAAGCCTTCTCTCTATGAGTACAGCATCATTGTTACTGATTAGTTTATCAGTAGAAATGGTTTCAATCGCAAAAAACAGAAAGGATGAAATCAGCTGAAGGGGATATACAAATAACAGGGCGGTCGGCAATGCAGGTCATCTGTGCTACGGCGGTGGATGAAAGTGCGATGTGACTAGGTCTCTCGAAAGCCGGCGCGAGCGGCAGTCGGTGGAGTGGAATTCAAATGGATGCGTCGTTGACGGGCCAGGAAGGACTCCTGGTCTGCCTCCTCCTGATCTCCGACTCGGAGACGAGTCTCAGCGCCGCGACGCTGCATGCGCATGCCCAGATGGTACCAGGCGGTGAGGATGAGTCGCTCCTCCACGTCTCTCTGCCGTCGGGCCTGCTCGTGGTGACGTTCCAACTGCTCGATGATGTTCTCCTTCTCGGCCAGCAGGGACTGCAGACGGGAAACTTCGGCGTCTGAGGGGCCGGCGCTTGTTGCCTCAGAATTCTCCGTCAGGGTGCTTCGTCGGTCCAGCTGCCGGATCAGCTGAGGGACCAATCACAGAGGCATTATTCAGACATATTCCCCAAAGGACACAATTGACGACAACATGTGCGGCCTGGCAGCGTCGACGTAAAGTAGTAGCAGTAGTGGTAGTGGTAGTAATAGTCGTATTAGTAGTAGTAGTAGTAGTAGTAGTAGTAGTAGTAGTAGTAGTAGTAGTAGTAGTAGTAGTAGTAGTAGTAGTAGTAGCACCAACATCAACGTTACTATGCCATTACTAATAATATACAACTACTACAACTACCGTCAAGACCCTACCAGCTTAACCGTCGGAGGCGACGATATCTACCGTGTGCCCACAGCGTGGTGAGCGCAGGACGGTGACTGGCCAGTGAATAAGCTCATGGCGATAGCATACTTGAGCAGCATCTACCGCACCCCCTACTGCCTCAGCCTCCAAGGCCCCATGTTAGGACCGAGCCAGCACGACCGGAGGCGCTATGGGCGCAGTAGCGCAGTGCGTCTACGTTTGCCACGCACTGCCTGGCCCGCGCACAATACAGCCGGATCAGCTGAGGGACCAATCACAGAGGCATTATTGAGACAGATCCCCCAAAGGACACAATTGACGACAACATGTGCGGCCTGGCAGTGTCGACGTAAAGTAGTAGCAGTAGTGGTAGCGGTAGTGGTAGCGGTAGTAATAGTAGTGGTATTAGTAGTCGTGGTAGTAGTAATAGTAGTAGGAGTAGTAGTAGTAGTAGTAGCAGCAGCAGCAGCAGCAGCAGCAGTACTAGTAGTAGTAGTAGTAGTAGTAGTAGTAGTAGTAGCAGTAGGAGTAGTAGTAGTAGTAGTAGCAGCAGTAGTAGTAGTAGTAGTGGCAGCAGCAGTAGTAGTAGTAGCAGTAGTAGTAGTAGTAGCACCAACATCAACGTTACAATGCCATTACTAATAATATACAACTACTACAACTACCGTCAAGACCCTACCAGCTTAACCGTCGGAGGCGACGATA